GGGACTTAGTAAGTAGATTATAAGTAGAGTTATAAGTACCCTAACTGGAGTTACCCCAATTATAACCCTACTTATAGCCGACTCACTAAGTCCCCTGGGCCTCCAAGAGTATCAGGGTCTGATACGTAAGCCCTAACTTCAAAAAGTTTTCTACATGCTACAGGGGCGGGTTTAGGGTTTAGGGCCTGCGTCACGAACCCCCATATACACACTCGTAAAGAACTTTGAGCACCCGTTATGAAACTCAACTCAACCATATTCGACACCGGCATAAAATCCTTACCCACCTTGACCCTTCGACACCCTTATGAATAGGAACCCTAGACTAGACCCTAAACTCAAAATCCTAAGCCCTAAACCTTAAACCCTAAACCCCTCAGCCCTAAACCCCAAACCCTAAACCCGATTTTGAAACTCTGCGTTTGCACCAGGAACAGCAACCAGCACTGCGAAATTTAGGGTTCAGCCTGCACATTCACTGGCTCTGTTTCCAATATAGTATATATTGTGTGATACTAGCCTAGGACTAGGGTTCAGCCTACACAACAACTAGCACTGCTTATAATAAACTGTCTTATGCGATACCACGGATGGCAACCAGCAATGATATCGGACATGGTAGCAAGTACTTTAGGATTTAGATTGCTATAGACAAAGTGTATTCGCTTGTTGTACGATATAGGACAGTCCAGACGACAACATGAAGTCATTCGAGGGTGAATGGAACTCATTTATGTGAACACATACAACTTTTTATTTTGCAATCTTATGGGATTGTAACGGTGAGTGGGTGTTATGTCTAAACCGCGAATGTAGCTTTACTATAAAACTGCTCGATCCGGAGCTGCTGAACCCCAAACCCGAAGCCCTGAATTGAAACCCTTCCCCGGGCCTTGCATCTCACCAAGCCCGATCTTCTCGGCGGCGGCCATGAGGTCGTGTGCCGCGGCCTTGTGCTTTGGTTAAGACTTCGGGCATTCAGGGCTGTCGCCGTATATGTTTAAGTAAGGGTTTAGGGTTCCTGTAAGGGTTCTATAGTGTTTAGCATTGTCGGGTATTTGCAGGTGGGATTATAAGGCTTTGGGGATGTTTAGGGTTTAGGCTTCAGAGACTGTTGGTACTGGTAAAGTCTTCGGGGTCTTCTATCTAAGGCTCTTGCAAGGGTTCTATGAGCATTGTTTAAAGGGGTATTACAAACGGGTTCTTAAGGGTTCTTTAAAGCTTGAGATATTCATGGCGCGCTTCAATCAGTCCTGGAGAGACTTGAGCTAAAAGGCTGTATAGGGTTTTGGTTTAGGATTTGAGTGAGGCTTCTGGACTGTCTTACAGGCAGAAGTTGAGTGATGAGATTCGAGAGCTTTTAACATAGGGAGCATAATAATTTGAATAGGGTTTAGGGTTTAGGGTTCAGGGTATAGGGAGGGTTCGGGGGTATATTGTACTATAGTTATGATAAGGAAGCCCCGAAAATGTATTGGTAACTACTTAGGCCCCAACATTAGGTTTGAGGTCTGCTTCAGGATGAGGGCTTCACCCGGTCTCGGTTTCTTCGGAGTCTTCCTTTGGCCCAAAACACCAACCAACCTTTCTGCGGGGGCTTTATATCTATAGAAATTAAGGGATTACATATACGTATATATATATATATATATATATATATTTAGAGAAACCATAAGAAGGAACCCTTCAAGCGGAGGTTTTCCGGCGACAGGTTGGGCTTTGGCTTTTGGGTAGTTTGAGGATGCGTAGTGGCCTAAAGACTAGTCTTCACTTGCAACGCCAGGTGCCCCCAAGCAAGGGAGCCTTCAATCCAAACTCTGTAACCCCGGACGAGGCAACCGTTCAAGCACCATGATGCCGACCGAATCAGGGGAAGCCACCGTGATACTTAAAGGGAGGTTGATGAATGAGAGACCGAGTCCACAACCAAAAATGATGGTCACAGCAGTACTGGCAACGACAACGTCCACAGAGGCAACACCGAAACCGCTAACAACCTGTTGGCAGGAACCACAACACACATACATAAGTCTCGAGTCTCGAGCATGAGGCTAACTGTAGCAGCACCAGAAAGAACGACACAAGTGATAACATCAAGAAAAAACACTGCCACAGGAGCGGCACGGCAGGAGCTAAATGCGGAGCAGGTGCTGCAGGAACACGGCCATCCCGCTTGTAAGATGGGTGGGCCATGACCTGGGTTGTAAGCCCCAAACCTCTACATGTGACCCTCAACGGCCCTAAACCCTAAACCAAGCGGTGAGGCAATGTGGGGTTCGAGACCCATGCCGGGGTCCAAACTCTAAAAGCCTCACAGTACCCCTCACATCTTGAATTTAAGGTTTAAGATAATGTAGAAGCCAGAAAAGTAGCATGTCATATTATTCCGTCGGCTTCGGGATGGTCATTAAGCTATCTCTACAACCTTTATGACATCCGTCAAGCTTGTGATCTCGGGCTTACAGGATATCAGAAGATCCGGCATTCATGGCTTACGCAGCTTAGGGCTTCATCTGCTCCTTTGCATGTCCACGGACCGAAAGGTCTGAAGCTACCTGGGTTTTAGGGTTTAGGGTTTTGGGGGTTCTTTATTAGAAGTATAGTATAGTGGGCCCCAAAACCCTGTTCTAATTGTTAAGGCGCCTTTCTTAAACCCTTATAGTAGCTCTCATGCTAGCCCTCACAGACCCCTTTAAAGGAACCCTATTCTAATTGTTAAGGCCCCTGTATTATTTTAACCGGCTCTGGCTACGTCCGCCGTGCTACACTCTGAGGGCTGGCCAGAGCAGTTCCTGTGGTTCAGCAGTTTCTGCATCTCTTCAGTAGAGGAGGCTTTAGGGTTTAGGGTTGAGGCTTGAGGGTTTAGGGTTTGGGGTTTAGGCTTGAGGGTTTAGGGTTTAGGTGGTCCTTATGAAAGAAGTATATTTCGGCAATTTCCAACCCCCCTACCCCAGCTCCGATTCCGTACGCACCTAGGCCTCCCCTGCCCCTACGGCCGCCACGCCATGCCCAGACTTACGCCTTTGTCCTAATAACTACCAAAGTTTACTATTCTCATTATTACGGCGCCTATATTATTGAGCACTGCCCCACGCTTCGGAACCCAGAGACCCACAGATATCAGTACATCCACAGGGAAGACAAGGGCTCTGAGCTTTGGGTGTTTTTTTTTGCAAACAGTTTAACACATATATCTACAAGGAACACTAAAGCACTAGGGCATGATACCCTCAACCCTAAACCCTAAATTTCGCTGCATTTGTTATGCCGTAAGCAGATTTGGGAATCCTTCGGAATGATACCAGTACCATGGCACGGGATGTCATTTGGGGGCCTGAATAATTACCTATACTATTTTGGGGGCTCCTTATTTTAATTATAGTACAATATAATCTAACCCAGCACCCTATTCTACTTACTAAGGAACAACGTTTCGTTCAGCTTCCTTTCTGAGATCTGCAGCCAAGGGGGCTCTGGACTGCGATTTTAGTGGTCTTAGGGCTCATGACTTCAGGGTTTAGGGCTTAGGGTTTTTCTTTAGTAGAGCAAGGCATGGAGCACCCAAAGAACAACATCCTGACAGTCGCATGAAGACTTAGACAGAGCTTAAGCCAGCATGTATGTAGCATACTCTGGTGTAGGGCTAATGGCCCAGGCAAAGACGCCGCTACGTCAAACAAAAGCCTGAGGGGTACCTGCTAGGCCAGCCCCAAAAAGAACCGGACAATGCCTACATTACATCCCGACAGGGCGGTAGGGTTTAGGCTTTAGGGCTCAGTGTTGAGTGTAGCAACAGGCGTAGGATTGAGGGTTTTAATGTTTAGGGTTCTTGCAGCGAAAGGAGAGATCCTCAGGAATGAGAAGGATGCTTTCTTTTGCTGTCTACTTGGAGGCCCAGGCGACTTAGTAAGTCGGTTATAAGTAGGGTTATAATTGGGGTAACTCCAGTTCGGGTACTTATAGCTCTACTGATAACCTACTTACTAAGTCCCCTGGGCCTCCAAGTAGGATGTCGGCGCAGGATGAGAAATGTCGAATGCACTCCTTTAAGTCGTAATCGCAACACACCAAGCCGCATTCTAACCACACTTTCGCCCAAGTGGAACTCCTTCTCACCCCAAACATATGACCGACCTAGTGACCTTAGATATTCCGGAGCCGCATTCCAGTTCCTCTGTCGCCTAACAAAAACCCACCCTAAACCCTAAACCCTAAACCGTACAGACTTCACCGAACTCTTGAACCGCTAACCGCTAACCTTAGATCCGGGCCACGATACACCATTGGTGTTTCGTGGCTTTGGTCCAAAGCACAGGCCAAAGCACAGGCCAAAGCCCTGCAGCCAAAGAGCCCTAAGAAGTCTCCACTGCTGCAACCCTGAAGCCCCCTAACCCTAAATAATACAATATAATGCAATTTAACAGAACACTATGCTGCAATATAATATAATGTAATACAATAATAAAAGATTCATATAACCCTAACCCCCCAGACCCTGACCAACCCGAGAGCAGTCGGGGTGTAGGCCATAGGACCTTAAACCCTAAACTCCTAAACCCCAAACCCCCTAAAACCCTAAAACCCTAAACCCTAAACCCTAAACCCTAAACCCTAAACCCTAAACCCTAAACCACCACCGGGCATCCCGGCGAAGCTCCTCATCCACTCGGCCGCGGTGGGGAGGGCGCCGGCAGACCGAAACGTGATGAAGTTGAGGTACTCCTGGCAAGGTTTAGGGTTTAGGGCTTAGGCTTAGGGTTTAGGGTTTAGGGTTTAGGGTTTAGAAGGTTTTGAGGTCCCGCAAGAGATGCATGGCCATTCGGCATGGTGGGCTGCAGGGTTCTAGATTCTAGGCCGTGGTTGGGGCTTTCGGGTTTCAGGCTGGCAGACTTTGATGTGTCCAGTTTGGCGTGTGCGGCTCATGCTGTGGAAGCGTCGTCAAAAACCCAAAACCCTAAACCCTAAACCCCTAAACCCCTAAACTCTAAACCCTAAACCCTAAACCCCAAGCCCGTCTTTGGTGTAAAACCGGCCCGGCCGCTGGGGTCTCACGCTCCTGTCTGTTGTGCTGCCCCATGTGGTGTAAGGGGCAACAGCTTTCAGGCTTTCCAAACGACTCAAAAGGTAATGTACTGGTTTAGGGTTTAGGGTTTAGGGGCCTTGATAATTAGAATAGGGTTTTGGGGAACATTGTACTATAACTATAACAAGGAGCTCCCACAATTATATAGGTAATTACGTAGGCCCCTACACTACAGTACCAGGGCTTTCGACAGAAGCCACAAGTTCACCCACCCAAGCTTCAACCGCTTGATAACAAAGACACTGCAAACCCGAGAGTTCACGTTCAACGTCTTGTTGCCTCTGAAAACCCTCCCTAAACCCTAAACCCTAAACCCTAAACCGCAAACCCCGTCATCTGTTCTATACCCCATGACCGCCAAACTAATCCCCAAACCCCTGGAAAAGCGCCTTAGGAACACCCCCTAATTAAACCCTAAACGTTTAACCCTTCAGCCCCGAATCCGATAGACAGAAACTTTAAAACCCGCCCAGAACTCTAAAGTTAGGAGCACCCGAAATCCTGAACCCGATTCCACGCATGTGAAGCCAAACCCTAAACCCAAAACTCCCAAACAAAGACCCTAAACCCTGAACCCCAAAACCCCAAAGCCAAGACCCCAAAACACTGAACCCTAAAACAAACCCTAAACCCTAAACCCCAAAACCGCAAAACCCCTAAACCCTAAGCCCCAAAACCCCTAAACAAAGACCCTGAACTCTAAACCCTGAACCCCCAAACCACAAAACCCCAAGACCGTAAAACCCCTAAACAGAAGACCCTGAACCCTAAACCCTGAACCCGTAAACCCCAAAACCCGAAAACCCTAAGCCCAAAAACCGCCAAAGACCCTGAACCCTAAACCCTGAACCCCCAAACCCCAAAACCCCAAGAACGTAAAACCCCTAAACAGAAGACCCTGAACCCTAAACCCTGAACCCCAAAACCCAAAAATCCCAAACCGCCTGTTTTTTGTCTCCGACCCATCGGACCTCGAAGCTCTGCCGCGTCCCCGAATCCAGGGTCTGGCTATCGAGGTAGCTTCGGCAAAGCGGGATCAATCCTGCTTGGGGCTTTTTAGGGTTTAGGGTTTAGATGGGTTTAGGGTTTAGGGTCTTAGAGTTTAGGGTTCTAGAGTTGCAGGATTTAGGGTTCTAGAGTTTAGGGTTTAAGGTTTAGGATATAGGGTTCTAGAGTTTAGGGTTTAGGGTTTAGGGTTTCGGATTTATGGTTGAGGGTTTTGAGGCTTGGGATTTAAGCTTTGCTTTTGTGTGAGAGAGCTGGTTTAGGATTTCAGGTTTAAGGTTTAACCCTAAACCCTAAACCCTTTAGGGTTTAGAATTCAAGGTGAAGGGCAATCCTCCAAGCGAGGGCGGCTCCGGTGCTTTAAACAACTTTATTCACGCTTTTTGGGGTTGTTCATATGGGTGGTTGTCAAAATTAGGGTCCCTTTTTGGGGTCCTTAATATAATACGGCACCTATTATTTCGGGTACCCCAAGAGGGACCATAATTTCGACAACTACCCATATTTTCTAGGAGACATGTGTGAGGCTTGTAGATAGCATCTGCTGGATCTCTGTGATGTTCGTGCGGTTTTGCTATAGCGCCGTTGGTGTTTGAGTTTCGTCAGTGAGTTGCTGCCGGTGATGTATGTTGACGCGGTCCATGCTAGTGGTGCTGCCACAGCCGTAGTTGTGAGTCACACTGTTATCGTCCTTGTTTTAGACTTCTTTGGCTTCTGCTATTTGCCACGGTGACGATTGCTGTGCCGGTGTGGCTGCCGACCGGCTAGACTGAGCCGCCACAGGGTAACTATCGAGCTATGGAGGCGTACATGAATAACACCCCATTCCGCAATCCTGCCCTAGCGATCTGAGGGCGAAGAGCTGGGCCCATTCTACGAGTGACCGATGCTGGAAAAAGGGCGAGAGACCGGAGACTGCAATTCGAGAACAGTGCACCAAAGACGTCCCAATCCATGAACGACAACAGAGACTAGCGGAGGGGGCGGGCACTCAATGACAGTATGTTCCAACCCTAGCTGCAATTTTCCAAAGGCTTCTGGCGCTAGCTTTTTTTCCACAACCTGCGGTTAATCTGAACCCCGGACGAGCAACACCCCCTCCAATTAGGGCCTTGATATTGGGGGATGCCAATTTCATCCTCAATTAAGTTTGAAACCAGGGTCCAAATTTCTATTCAACTACGGAAACGATACAGTGCTAATTCTACAGTCGGGCTTCCTTCAAATCATTCGGGGGACTGTCGAAAGCGTAGTTTAGTGCAACCTGTTTTGGTGAAGGCCTGAAGCGAGCCACAAACTTTTCAACCCTAAACTCTAGAACCTCGAAACCCTAAACCCTGAACTCTAAAGCCTAGAACCCTGGAGTTTTGATGCTCGCAGAAAGCGATTGCTGCAGGGTTTAGATAGCTTTGGAATGCTTAGTGGCTTAGTATAGGTGCCTTAAGAATTGAAAAGGGTTTGGGGGCCCATTCCCCCAAAATATTGTTGGTAATGATATAGGCCCATATTATGTTAGGTTCTCCTTCAAAGAGTTCGTTGCCGTTGAGGATCTCGTAGACGGACATAAGCTGATACCTGCATAGCGTCTACCGGTTGAAAGCTTTCAAACTGGCGTTTGGCGTGGACGACCTAAGGCTGCAGCAGCTCAGGGTCTAGCTTGAGATTTCAGTGTCAAGGCTTCGCTGTAAGTTTGCAATGTCTCCTATACCTAAAATTTGCTAAAACCCTATGAACATAGCTTCGATGTTCAAGGAGCACGATGACATGTTCGTGCCTTAAATTGTGCACATCATCATGGAGCGACAACTCGTACTTGGAGGGTCGGGGGACTTAGTAAGTAGTTATTTTATAGAGTTATAAGTATCATAACCCTTTTTAGGGTACTTATAAGTCTACTTACTACCCACTTACTAAGTCCCACGACCCTCCAAGTAGCTGCTAGCTCCGAGGCCGAATCCAGACATGCCGTCCTCCTGGCACTTGTAGGGCCCCAAAAAAGCACATAAGCAAACATTAGGATCCGGATATCCCATATAGATCCCCTTATAATGAAGCCCAATACGGTAGGGATATCCCCAAAAAAAGCTTACGCTTATGTGCTTTTTGGGTCCCTAAACTTGATTGTTGCAATCACCGTCGGCCCAAGCTCCACACCTCCTCGCATGTGAAGCTGCCTCTGGATCTCGCCTCCAAACGGCGTAATGTGCACCTCTCTGACTTCCGGGTTAGGGAAGACATACAAGCGCAATCGCTCTTGCTCCTCTTCAGGAAACAGCACTTGTGTTGGACCGTTCCCTTGAGGGCCGGCTGCAAGAACATGTGCGCAGTCTTGTGCTGCGACTTGAGCGCCGCGACGATTCACGTCGCCCGGGTGCAACCAAGCCGCTCCCCCACCGACATTGCGATGAGCGATCGGAGCTGCCATGCCAAACGGTTCAAAGCATACTGCCAATGTCTTCAACAACTGGCCAGTGTCAGCTGTCTTGAACTCGTCCAAGTATGCCTTGCACTAGCTGGCGACGATTTTCACATCATCCTTGCTGCGAGATTTTGCAGCGAGGCAAACGCCTGCTTGCAATGGAACGCCGATTGGCACAGCCTTTGGTCGCCCGAAGACATCCAGTGGCAATCTTGCCAGCCTGTTCGGCACCGGTGGCGGCGCCGCAGCCCTCGCGACGGGCGGAGCTTTGGCTTGTGTGTTCACTGTTATTGCGGGAGCCGCACCTGGCAGTGGTATTGCCATGGCCTTTGGAACTGGCGGCGCCGTCATCGGTTGGATGGTGGGTGGAGCCACTCCTCCAGCTTTCGCAGGCACCGCAACAGCTTTCGGTTTCGGCAGAGCTTCCAAAGCCACTGCTGCGACGAAAGCAGCCTTCGCAAGTGCCCTTTAGGCACAAATGCTCCAGCAGCTTTGGCGATCGTGTTGTTGTAATGTTCCACATAAGCCTCGACTTCTTCATGTTGCTGCCGAGCTTGCATCATCAAGGCTTAGGATTAGGGTTTAGGGTTTAGGCTTAGTATCTATCATCTAAGCACTAGTCTTTCATTACGGGCCCCTAAACCCTAAACCCTTACGGGTGTTTTACTGGCAAATCCTACACCCCGAGGCCCTGGGTCCTAAACCCTAAGCCCAAAGCCCCTAGCGCGCTGCAGGCCCGAAGGAGCTCTCTGGGTACAAAAGAAGCCTGAATAGTTAGAGGGTTTAGGGTTTAGGGTTTAGGGCTTAGGGTTTAGGGTTCAGGGTTTAGGAAGTTTAGGGTTTCGGGTTTAGGGGTTGAGGGTTTAGGGTTTAGGGGTTGAGGGTTTAAGGTTTAGGGTTTAGGGCTTGGAGTTTAGGGCTTGTTTGTTAGGCTTCCTAGGTCCCAAAAGACCATCCCTACTATTATGGGCTTTGGGGGCCTAACTGCGTAATGGTAGTATACATGGACCCTCTTGGTAAAAAATGACACTACAACGTAAAAAAAAACCCTAAACCCGAAAAACAAACCTAAACCCCTCAAGCCTCAACCCTAAAACCCCTAAATCCTCAACCCCTAAACCCTAAACCCCTAAACCCCGAGATCTCATTCAGGCTCCTTTATTGAACCATACCAAACCTGTACAGGTATAGTAGCCCTTGCAGGCCGCTGGAACACGAAACGCTTAAAGGAACCCAGTTCGAACTCTTATGGGCCCCACACTAACCCCAAACCCCAAAACCAAAAACAGAACCTTAAACCCCAAAACCCTAAGCCCTAGACTCCCTAGACCCCCCTACACTAACCCCTAACCCCAAAGCCCGAAATAAAGCCCTAAACCCCAAAACCCTAAATCCCAAAACCCTAAATCCCAAAACCCTAAACCCCAAAACCCTAAACCCCAGAACCCTAAACCCCCAAAACCCTAAATACGTTCTGAGGAGCCGACTTGGCTTCGCTTGCGTCTTCCAGGGGGTTCGTGCGGAACCAAAGAAGCTCCTCAAGGGCTGTAGGGTTTCAGGGTTTAGGGTTCTCGGGCTTTAGGGTCTTCGGCTTTAGGGTTCAGGGTTTGAGGGCTTTAGGGTTTTTTTGGTTTAGGGCTTTCGGGTTTTAGGGTTTAGGGTTTAGGGGTTTAGGGTTTAGGGCTCTCGGGTTTTAGGGTTTAGGCCCTCTCATACTTTGAGGGCCACTTCCCTCTCCTGCTGTTACGTACAAGAGACTGCAATCATCATGTGCAGGTACATAGCTTTGTACACTTTTTGTGGGTTTAGGGTTTAGGGGGTTTAGGGTTTGGGGTACACATAGGTGCACTCTTTGTATCAATTTTGTTTGTGTTTTTTTACGTATCTCTCTCTCTCTCTCTGTCTTTCTCACTCTCTGTGTCTATATCTCTATCTCTGTCTATACCTCTATGTCTATGCCTATGCCGGTGCCTATGTCTATCTCTATATCATTTTCTATCTCTATCTCTGCTCGTATAATAAATTGTCTTGAAGACTGTCGCGCTCTCGGCTCCACTTTCTGCACTTCTGCTCCACTCGCTGAAGAAATGCTTCTCCATCCTCTTGCTGTCGTTGCAATCTCGGATGACATTTGGCTCATTTTTGTGCCACATCCAGGCTTGGCCATTTGCCGTCGCCCCACATGACCATCCGGGTAGTTCTCTGAATTAGGGTCCCCTTTTAGGTTCCCAATGTAATACGGCACCCTTATAAAAAAGGACCCTAAAAGGGACCCTAATTCTTCAACCTTGCGTACTTTCCCCAAGCCCTGGCTTTGAATACCATGTCACACCCTAGTTAAAGCCTAAACTCGCGAAACCTCGCACCCTGACCCCTGAACTTTTCAATCCCTGACCCCATACTAAACTAAACCTTGATGCTAAAGCTTTACCTCTTAAGCCGCCCGTACAGCGCGCCTCGGGCCTTAAATCCAAAAGCCCAAACCCCTCAAAACTCTTCACCCTAAAACAACTAAACTACCCAAACCAAACCCCAAAACCCCGATTGAGGGCTAGGTTAACAACACCTATGTCACCCTTACCCAAACCCTATAAACCCTAAGCAACCCTACACCCTTAAATCCTAAACCCAAACCTAAACCCTAGACCCTAAGCCCCTAAGCCCAGGCTCCTTGGTACAAGCCGACCTCCGGCTAGCCACAGTCATGTTCTCCTTTTGAGACTTTCGCGCCGGTTTGGTTTGGAGTTTAGGGGTTTTGGGTCTAGAGTGCTGGGGTTTAGGGTTTAGGGGCTTGGGCCAAGCTTCTTTGAGCCTCGACAGCTTTGGGTAGTTGTGTTTAAGGCTTCAAATGGCTTTAGGCGTTTGGGGTTGCGGGCTTCGGGTGTCAGGTTGGAACTGAGCGGTCAAAGCTTTGAGGGTTCGGACTCGCGAAGGCATAAATATGGTTCCCCCTGATGTCGGGGCCTTAATAACTAGAATAGGGGTTTGGGGTACATTATACTAGAGTTTTAATATGGAACCACCCCCCCAAAAAAATATAGCAGGTAATTTTTAAGGCCCCTATATTAACTCCATTCATAAGAGACCCTAAACCCCAAACCCTAAACCCTAAACCCATGCCTTGTTTAACAGGTTTGGGGCGGGGGTTCGGTTGCCGGCTCCCTGTAACCGACCCCTCAAGGGATCCAAAACGGCAAAGACCCGAAGGAAATTCGCAGGGGTTCAGGCCCTCTAGGGGTTTAGGGCTTAGTTTAGGGTTCAGGGTTCAGCGTTCACGGTTTAGGGTTTAGGCGTTAGGGTTTAGGGTTTAGGGTTTAGGATTTAGGGGTTTAGGGGTTGAAGTTTAGGATGACATACTTTTTCAGGGCTTCTTAGAATGATTTCCTGATAAAAGCCTTTTAGACGGGAGGTTCTTTGGGGTTAAGGTAAAGGCAACGCTTGGCAGTAGTCACAGTCTCCTTGGTAGCTCATTTTTGGGGTTACCTTATAGGATCCAAAATATGAACCACAAGACGGAACTAAAATAAAGCCTCTGGGTAGTCACTGGCATTCAGACCGGAACCGAGTCTCCTCCACTTTGGACATGGGGATGCGCAGGTCCAACTTCAGATCCAGAATCGCCCGGGACACGAGGATGATGAAGCCTGGGATGAAACCCAAAAAAGTGCCTTGTAGAACCGTTGAAACCGTGATGAAATCTCGGAAATCGACCATAACCTGAAACTCCTAAACCTAAACCCTAAGCCCCTAAGCCTAAACCCTAAACCCTAAACCCCTAAACCTAAACCCCTAAACCCCTAACCCCTAAACCCTAAATTCTAAATTCATGTGTCTGAAGGGCTTTGGGCCGGCAAGGGGTGGAGATCTGGGGCCTTCGAGCGAACGGCTTAGAGCTGTTGTGCCACGGCATGCGCGAAGGGCGTTTATGATGTGAACGGTTTAGGGTTTAGGGTTTAGGGTTTAGGGTTTAGGGTTTAGGGTTTTAGGGTTTAGGGTTCAGGGTTTAGGGTTTAGGGTTGGGGTATACTAGACAATGAATCTGTAGGGCTCCTCAGCTGAGGGATAGTATTACTAATCATTCAGACCTCCTCCCAGATGTTTATAGTACCTGCCAAAACCCTGAACCCTGAATCCGAAAAAACCCATATTCATATTCTACAGCACCTGCCCACAAGAGACTGATGAAGGCGGCGTTCTCCAAGTCGGTCATCTGCAACTCCATGGACCGAAACTCCACGCGCCAGCCTTGTAGCTTGGTGTTACCGAGTTTCAGAAAAATGGGTGGAGGGGGGGGGGGTTAAGGAGTTTAGGGATTATAGGGTCTTTTAATGGCTGTTGTGGCATTCCGAGTTTTTGCCAATGCAGATGGCTGTCAAGGGCTGCTGTCGGATTTGGTAGATGGGCTTTGGCGAGCTTAGGGTTCACGGCTTAGAATCTGCAAGGGAATTTTCCTATATCCGGCTCTTCACGAAATCTTTGTGAAGTTTCGGGCTGAGATGCTTCCTTCCCCTTTTTCATGCCCTTGACTTTCAAATACGACTTGCCGCATTTAGGATAGTACCAGATGGCACGATTAGTTAGACTTTCTTGTGCCTGTGGATCCCAAGCCCTAAAACCCCAAACCCNNNAAACCCCTGAACCCTAACCCCCAAAATGCGAAACACACCCAACACACCAAAACCGCTAAATCCACAAACCTGAAGCCGTAGCCCTAACAGCTCTCAGGCTTCAGGGCCCAGCAGCTCTTCACGCCTTGGATGAGGTGGTTTCATTCCCATCTCACCAAACACCCCTTGAGCTTTACATCAATACGGGCCAGTGTTTGCGGCCTTAATCGTTAGAAGTTGGGGGTATATTACACTAGACAAAATATAAGGACCCCC